TAAAATATAAACACTAAATTTTACCAGTACTTCATTGGTATTTTGTTTGTAGTTAAGTCAAGGACCCCAGGGCTAATAATACAATAAAATAATTTTCTGGAAAACAAACAAGGATAATTCAAAGATAATTTAAATTTCAGATAGTTTTTTTTTAAATTTCATTTTCTTTACCTAAAACACTAAGCCACCACATCCCAAAAAGGGGTTTCTATTTTCAGGGCAGATTTATAAGCTTCCTTTTGGTTGTGACAACCATGTCCACCAGTTTATTTAAAAATTCTTGAGCATTCAAATCAAAGAGAAGGTAAAATATTTCAAAATATCGACATAAACAATGTGTCACTTGAATTGGTGGGCCTGTGCTAGTGTGCTCATTTCTTCAAAATACTCAAGAGGATCATGACTTGAAATTCTTCTGAACCATCAGCCTGAATACATGACTTTCTGATTTATAAGGACTAGGAGCTATCCTTTTGGAAATAAAAGAATGGTTAAAAAAAAAACTGTCAAACATATAGCTCTAATTGCATGCTGGCTTAGGTGTGACTGGTGTGGTTATGTTAATTAGGATAGCCTTGTAAACTGCCCCTTGCTTAGGAAAAATAATAATCAATGCAGAGCAAATGGAAAAATCATACAAGTAACCTTCATTTTCCTGTCTGTGCGCTAGAAAAAAGGTCTGTAGATTAGTAAATATTTGTACTTGTTTCTTAAGACTAGTTTATTACCCACAGATTTAGCAACATTAAAATGTAACCTGTCTCTTCTTTCTTTCCAAATACTAGTCTTTATGAAAATTTACTCATCATGCTTAAAAAATCAGATATTTAAACTGGGTTTATTGTTATGGACCCTTTTAAAAAACACTTTTGGGCCCATATTAAATTATAAATTAATTAGTTAAAATGAGAGGTTGGTTATTTAATTTTCATTTCCAAGACTGAAAACCTAGATAGGTATACCAATAGGACATTAACAAAAAATTTTCAGTTGCAAATTTATGCTTTACCAGTAAGTGCTAGCAACACTCAAATCCCATAATGAAAAACCAAAAACAAAACAACAACAAAATAACATTACCAAGAAGAACAGAGAACAAAACGGGTCTCACTATTTGCAGGCTAGTTCCATTACCCATTTATACTTCTTGGGACAAAACAATTTCACACTCATTGGATGAGAGGTTATGAAAAATGCTCTCAGAATGGAACTCTCTATGTGCTAGGCACTCATCAAAGGAAGCTCCCCAAAATAAAACAAGTATGGTTGTTATTCCTGTGGTCATGGTTCATCATTGTCACAGAGAACATCTGCTCCAGTGGGACCCTGGTGACCAGGAAGAAAAGAAGCCATGGCAGAATGAGCAATTCCATTAGTTGGTTAACCAATTGGTTTGATCTAATTCAGTAGGTTTATGGAAGAAATTGCCAGAATGCTCAGAGAGGTGGAAGACCTTTGCCTTATTTTAAAAGGTTTGGGAATGACGTGGTCTTCTGGCCCTGGTCAGCACAGGACACTTCCCTCATTGAGTTATGACACAGAACTAGGTTCTTCTATCAATGTGTGGTCATGGGAGAGGAGATGGGCAATTTTGTATTTGAGCTGCAGAGCTGTTATAGATTTATTCCTGATGAAAAAAGAGTTGGAGGCCTAGTACAATGGGCCACACGACTTCAGCCTGGGAATTCCACTAAGGAAGAGAAAATGAGGACCCTGGGTAGATAGATAAGGCTGACATCACAGTAAAACAAGGAGGAAAGCCTGATGAGCCAAGAGCGTGCCCATACTGGACTCCTCTCCATACCACGGTCTGAGCCAAGTCTTGTTCCCGCTGGCCTTGGCTTTCCATGTCTGACAACAGTACCTAGTAACTAGTAATTAATACTAGTGTATACTTGCCTCATGTCTGCTATTGATGGTGATAATGATTCAGAGTCCTTTTTTAAGGAGTTAGTTGAACACTTATCCACCAAGACTGCTAACCCCCGGCAACATTCTCTGCCTACAGAGCTGACTGATGATGAATGCCTCCCTAGGATCTGGGATATAGCACACTGAGTGCCACTGATGAGAACGGACCATTCTAGACACGATATTGCCTTGTGACACGATGCTCTACAGTGTCTTAGCTTTTGTCCCCAACCTCACCCCCAATTCAGAATTTTGCTATTTCCACTGAGTCCCTACACCATAAACCACGAAGACACAGGGTGCTCAACTGGGACTTCTGAGCTCTAGGATGCCCCTGCAATATAATCATTAGTGCTATAAATCTGAGGGTTGGCACATCAGAAATGTGGTCCTGGCTTCCCAGGCCAGAATTTACCCCCCAAGTTCCAACTTCATAATAAGACGCTGCTATCATCTGAAGAACTCTGGCCTGGAAATGTTTATTCCTGGAACCACAGAGTTCTCCTGTCCCCTTAATGTATCCCATGTGCCTCTCTTAACTTCTCTCAAACGAAAAGGAAGGCCAGGACAGTCCTCAGGGATGTCTGGGTCAATGCACAAAAACATCAAGACTGGTTTGGTTCTTTAAGATTAGCAGTCAGGTAAATGCCTTTAATAATATTTTTTTATGGATGCTTTTTTAAAAAAATATATCACTGTCACTTCACAATGACATAACCCTCCTTGTAAAGACTAAGTCCATTCAAGACAAACAAATCAATAACTGGCCAAGTTTGAAAATTTATGCCTCATTCTGCACCCTATCACCTACCACTTTGGTGCTGATGCACGGGAGGGAGGCACACTTTGTCAGGAAAATTCTTTATGAGAGAGGCAGTGGAAGAAGGAGAGAAGGAATTCCCCTACCCCCATATAGTCAGTCTTTCATGGAGGAAATGCAGATAGGGGCTCTGGGCCATAGGGTAGCAACTTGCTACAAAACAGAAGAAGACGCTTAGAAGGACAAAGCGCCCAGATACAATTTCCCAGTGCTCCACCTCACGGCCAGGTAGCATCGGGAGGTAATCCAGTATTATCTTTGCACCATACTAATTGTCCAACTCTAATTGGTCCAAATGGACCAATGTCATTATTGCAAAGAGTGACTTTTGTACTACTGTCCAAACAATGTGGTAACGTCAGATTTGAATTTCTGACAGTACAAACAAGACAGGCAGAAGAACAAGTCAGAGAAGTACAGGATTGAAGACCACTTCATCCAATACCAGGGGTGTTACCACTGCCATTTTTCAAAGGCTCCTTTTTTTAGCAACTGCTGAAACCAACGTCCCTTAATACAGTCAGCAGGGACTGTTTACCAAGGAGACTCAGCACCAGAGGGAGGCCCTACCACGTTACCTTCAGGGAACTGCCCTTCTGATTCCGCCACTGTCAAATGCTATCACCTAAACCATGCTCATGGATTCTGCTGAAACCCACTTAAGAGAAGAGAGCTGAAAGCTGCCTGCAGAAAACTTTAAATCCAGAGAACACCCAAGGGCCTTATTTGTTCAGTGTGTGATGACAAGGACCTGTATTCTAACAATTCCCTGCAGTAAAAAGAAGCTACATTTTTTTTACGTGTTTTAATTTACCCTTCTGTATGAGAAGGTTGAGATGACTGACAATGAATAACAGAGAAAGCTTAAAAAATATATATATATGGCACTTTCAATAAATATCTTAAAGCTTTTTAAAGAAATCGGATTCAAAAAAGCAACTGCTGTAAGACCTATTTTAGCCATTACAAATAATTCTGAATGAAAAAAAAAATCCAAACAACATGGAGATCATCACAGAAAAATAGACAGTACACCTTCCCCACCCCCACCCCCATGTCCTACTCTGAAACAACCTTGACTGGCCCATATTTCAAACCCTTGTAATATTAGAGATGAAGAGGAGGAAAATATTGAAAGGTAGAAGGGAATAAAGTCACACACCCCATGGAACTCCTTAATACAAGAGTTACTGACATACACAAGCCCCTGTGTAGACATATACTCACAGAGCAAATAAAATCCTTATAACCGGCCCCAAATCAACCACATTACAAAATCATTCTTCAGTCATGCTGCCTTCATCAAGACATCCCTTCAGGGATCCTGTTTCAGAAGCAGACCATTCATCGTGAATTCAGTGATGCGTGTGTAGTACTATACATGCATGTGGACACGGGAGCACAACCAAAATGCCGTGATTTGCAAATAAGTGAGCTGAAGGAAGCTATTTAACCACTGCTCCCAGAATGATCTCTTTTTATAGATAGCCTCAAAATCACAATAAGTGGGTATTTATAATAACAGATAAGACAGACATGCATTTATCTGTCCACATATCTATCTATTCTATTCTATCTCCTTGGTAATTTCTCATAAGAAGTGTCATTTAAAATGAAATCCCTTGTTGAAATACACAAATTAGTAGGTCCAAGAGCTACATTTTTTTAGTATGAGGGAAAATGGGGTTAGTTTTCATTCTGATAATCAAGGCATGAAGAAAATGCCAAAGAATGATGTTTTTAAAAGGAAGCTACTTTTCACTGAAGGTCAGTTCTAATGCAATAAAATCACTTCCCCATTCTGCACACCCAAACTCTCCATCCTTTAAGATAAAAAGATGTACTGTCTTTTAATAAAACGGACCAAAGAAACAAAGAATGGAAACAGCCTTCACAAATAAAGAGTGACTAATGCCCAGGAATCCCTTAAGCAGGCAATCATTCTACAACCGGACACAGTTATTTACAATGGGTCATTACCAAACAAACAAAAAAATGGTAGCACTTCCTAAAAGATTTTGGAACTTTTTTTCTATTTTTTCTTTTTTTAAAACTCCCTTGTCATAAAAGCCAACATACATTAAAATATACTTACTACAAGACAACACAACAAAATATATAATAAAACTCATACAAGTAGAAAATTCTGAGGTATTTCTGGTTTGAGGTGGTCTGTGGTCGTGAAGTTTTAATTTTTTTTTTCTTTTCAGTTTAAACCTCGGAAGCCATGTAGTGTATGTGTGTGTGTGTGTGTGTGTGTGTGTGTGTGTGTGTGTGTGTGTGTGTGTATGCATGTGTGTTTTAAAACACTGCATGTTTTGCAAATTAAAAAATATTTAAATGTTGAATCAGCAGCATTAGGAACATTCACTGACTAGAGCAAATTTATGGCATAATAGAATAACGGTATTTAAGATATGCACCACTTTAAGACAAAGTTTCATCACAGAGTTTAGAGAAAGCCATATCAACAAGCCACTTGAAAAAAAGATGTTAAAAATCATCATGGTGGCTGCTTTTAAGTCACACACCATTCCCCCACCCCCTCACCAAGCTGTTGTCATCCTGATGTTTCCTGGGTGCTGAAGTAGTCCTGCAGTCCTTGGCCAAAGGCCCAGGTCATTCTCCCTCCCTCCAGATAAAAATCTCTCCTTAAAGAGCTAGCAATTTTATCGTATTTCTTTTAATGGTCTTAAGTAATTGTTCAGGCTGTGCCATTATTCAACCCTGGCGGGTTATTCCTTGAACTGCTCCAGGAGGAGGCAAGGCCCCTTCAATTTATCCATTTTAAGGAAAAACAGTGAACTAAAAGAAGGGTTTTCCTTTTTAAAAGATTACGTTTGGTTAATAACTATTCATGATTATTTATTTTACAAGAGGAAAAAATTAAATTTCTCAAATGAGAGTGAATTTTATCTGGAAGCTGGTTGGAGTAGAGGAAGGAGAGAAATCTGTTTTCCTTTTACTTCCCACCCCATCTTATATTCAAGTCTAAGACGATGGAAGAAGTAAGAATTAACGTTGCCTGTGTACTCAAAGAACAGTTGGGGCTTCCTGACATGCCTTCTCTAGATTCTGTGTTTGCTATGAATGCTCCGTGTCCAAAATGTCCTTCCCCTCATTCACTGATTACCTGAGAAGTAGCTCCATAACAAATGATGTTTCTCCAAATGCTGCCAAGTCCAACGTCGCCCCCTTCCTTAGCCCACCCCCAGCACCAACCTCCTCCTTTCAACCCCCACATCCCAAGAACTCTTCCTGGTTCTTCCTCCATTACAATGACACCCGTTAGATCCGTAAAAGACACATCTGCTGTTTTTGAAGCTGTCTAAAAAGGGAAAAGAAAAAAATTTTTTAAGGGGGTGGGGGATTGTGGAAGGGCGGACTGGGGAAGGAACACCTTTTTCTGAGAAAGGTGTCTTTTGTAACAGTCTTTTAAAGTTTCCTCCAAAGTTTGCAGCATTATGTTTCCTAAGATGGGGGATGGGTTTCTTTGTGTCATGGATGTTCTGCGGAGAAAACAGACCAACAAAGAAAAACCTAAAAAACTGAATCACAAACGGAAAACGAGGTTGTTGAGGTTCTGCGGCACGGACACCATTTCTGCATTCATGAGTCGGGACCTGAATGCTTGCTGAGATGTCCATTGTTTTCAATACAGTAGAACAATATGCTGGTAAAAATTGATCCAATCAAAAAATAACAATAATAATAATAATAATTATAATAATAATAATAAAAAGGTCAAGATAAAATAGCAGCTGCATTCATGTGTTCGTTGGTTTTATGGTTCTTTTTTGTTGTTTTTAACTTTTTTCTTCTTCAAATTCACTGAGTCTGGAAATACAAACAGGACCCAGGACTTAGATACTCGACTCTTTGGGGGGCAAGTCCACATTGGTGACAGATGTCACGAGGGAGACGAGGCAGTCCGAGGTAGTGCCATTGACAGATCTGCGGATCAAGGACACGCGTTCCTCCACGCAGCCCGCAGAGAGTCTGGCCTCCGCATCATGGTCCCAGCACTCCTCAATCGTCACACAAAGCTGTGCCAATCCCTGTGCAGCAAAAGGGGGGGCAGGGGAAAAAAAAGAGAAATGAACTTCACTGGGAATGCCTCAAAAAAGTCTCATCAATCAGTGCAAGGTCAACTTGTGATGACCCACCTGCTAGATTACCCATAAGCAAATGAACAACTAAGCCCAATGCCTTCTTTCCTTTACCCCTCTAATCAGTTAATATGGGCTCAGGTAACAGCTTGAGAGAAACATGATTGGGAAGGGAAATCTGAGACAAAAATGATAATAATACAATCGCCCCAAAGCCTAACAGAAATTATTTTGGGATTATCTGTGCCACTTTTTTTTTTTGGCTTTTCTCTGTAGGCTCAGAACTTAGCACAGTTCCTGCACATTAGTACGTTCTTAATAAATGCTAGTTGACTGACTGGTATTTCCCCCTGCCCAGATAACTAAAAACTTGCTGGATTTGACCATGAAAAGTAAGAGAATCCACTCTTGCTTTCAGAAGCAGAAATGATGTGAAAGAAGTAGAAGGGGAGAAATGGCCAGAGACAACCTACAGTGGAATCAAGTCCCATACTCCAGTCATCCTTTCTAGATGGGTCTAGGATTCCCCTACTCACAAACCTTTCTCCCCAGATTCCAGTGGAACATTCATCGAATCTCAGATTCAGAAGGAAACTCTAATCCTAACCTTATCTTTATGTATATAAGAATCCCCTCTGTAACATCATGGACAAATACTCAAGTTTTCACTTGAAAACCTCCCCAGAGGTAGTAGACCTACCACTCACTATCTCCTCAACAAGCCAGTCCGCTCCACTTTTGAGCAATGTTAATTCTTGGGAAGTATTTTCTTATATTAACCTAAAAGCAGCCCCTGTGAAGAACTATCTTCAGTGTCTTGCACTGCTTCTAGTTCCACCCCCTGAGGCCAGGCAGAACAAATCAAATCCCCTTTCCTCATGGCAATCCTTCAAATACTTGAAGACGGGCTCTCACGTCCCTTCATTCCCACCCAGGATCTTTCCTTCTCCAGGCTAACTAGTTCCATTTCCTTCAAACAATTTTCCTAAGGCATAGTTTCCAATTGTCTTATCATCTTAGTCATCTCCCTCTGGGCTCTCTTCCATTTGTTAAAGAAAACAAACAGTAAAGGAGGTAAGGTGTGTATGTGTGAATGAGTGAACAAAAGAAAACACAAAGAAGTACAGGAACTAACTCATCTCTCTCACAAACACACACACACACACACACACATACACCCATGCACGCACGCATACAACACAGGAGAGACCTGCTGAGCTAAGAGATAAATGCAAATGACCAACATCATCTTGGCTAAGTCAAAGTCAAACACATTCTTTCCATGGACTCAATAAGGTCAGAAGTTCAAATCAATGTTCAGAAAGTAATTGGTTTTCAAAGAACTAGCCCCCAACTTATTTGTAATTCATTCTGCCTCCTTAGGACAGGCTGGAAAGAAACACTGGATTTGACATTGGGGGAGCTAGGTTCAAATCTTAGCTCTGCCATTAACTTCCAGTGTGACCACTGTCCCACTCACTTAACCTATGGGCATCAGTTTCCTTACCAGTTGGTGTGGGGTTGAAGTAACACATCTTTAAGGTCTCTTCCAACTCTAGATGCTATGAATAGGAAATTTAGAAAGCCACAAACTTTTATAATCAGGAGCATTCCTATTATAAAGAATCACTCGTTTTTATCCTGTGCTTGGTTAGAAACAACTCAACAATGTTCATCTGTACCCTGATGAAATACGACAAACCTTTTGAGCTAACGCACAGGAATTCATTAAACATGACATGTCTCCTCTCCCCATATCTGGGCATGGACTGCAGGGTAGGAAGTAAGAGGGAAGAGGAAGGAATAGACACCTACAGGATGCTTCAACCAATGATCCTTGAAGGCGGGACGCATCTTCTTATGCACCACCACCTCCTGCAGGTCTTCCAGGGATGGATGTTGACCAATCTCCTCCTCAAAAGGTAACATGTACTCATCTACAGGCCCTGCAAAAAGTAGGTAACAAAAGTAGGGTCATGGCTTGTGTCTAGAGAGGACACCAGCACCCATCATTCCTACCATAACTACAGTTGTCACCATAGTCATTGGCAGAATAACATAAGACCAAAAACTAGGATGATATAACATTGTATTGGGCACCAAACAAGATCATGGTGGTAGAGAAGACATGGTCCTTGAAGTCAGGGAACTCCAAGCATGATGAAGATTATCCCTATCAGACACTCACCATCCACAGCTGTGCATCTAGACACCAGCTCCCACAGTACCAGCCCCATTGCGTACATATCAATCCTCAGGAAAGCATCTCTCTGGAAGTTGATTGCTCCCTCCAGCACCTCAGGGGCCATGTACCGCCTGGTTCCTACCTACATTAGATAGACCACAAAAGCAGGGGGTGAGAGGGGAAAATAGGACATGGTAGAGGGACTGGGGTGAGGAGACTCAGGATGAATATAGCAAGTGACCTAGTGGACTAAACGATGGCCATACCGTCAGAATATCTTGCATTCAAATCCTATCTGTCACTTGACTGACTAGCTAGAGATGAACAAGTCATTTTGCGTATCTGTAAAATGAGCACGTTCGGACTCAATGACCTCTATGGTCTCTTCTAGCTAGAACATTCTATGATTCACAGCAGAAGAATGAGCCACCATTATTCACAGGATCTATGATCATAAGGGATGTCACTTCTTGCATTAAGAGCAGTGCAATGAATGATAAGGTAATCCAAAAACCAAGATTAATTAAAAAACACTACTTGGCTTTGGGATATGAAATGTGTTTTATTTGCTGGGGGGAACAAAAATTAATTTAATTTTTTTTCTTTGGCTACTCAGTAAATGATCTGTATTTTCTTCCTACTCTCCCTCTGCCTGAGCCCGAATTCACCAGCTGTTTGATAGGCTGGTATGATCCATAAGAAAACGGGTAACAGGACAAGAGGCTCCCTAAGTCTTTGAATTACTGCCCTAGGTCCCACTGTGTATTGTGGTACCTATCTCTCACTTAATTTTCTTTCTCCAGGGTAATATGAGGGCCAAAGTGCCTCAGAAAAAAATAAAGAGTTAGCCTTAAGTGTGGTAGGTGTTAACATGATTTAGGGGAAAGTTGTACAGATAAGAATTAGTCACGCCTCAGACTTGGCTTGGTAGGATATACCCTTTGCCCAAGGTCCAGCCCCCAGGTATTCTGTATAAAAGGGGAGAGAGGGAAAAAGGGAGAAAGGGAGAGAGGGAGAGGGGAAGAGAGAGAGAGAAACAGACAGAGAGAAAGAGAGAGAGATCAGTGTTTGAGGTTACCAGGGTCAAGCTATATAGTTAGCTTTCAATTACCCATGCAGCTAGTGTCCAGGACAGTTCCCATAATTGCAAAGTCATTAGCATGTGATTTCAGAATCTATTACATGATTTTCACCCAGCACATTGTCTTCTCAGTACTATCTGATCCAGTTAGGTGTTAATGTTGGTTTCTAGACCAAATGCATGTTGGTTGGCAGGAAGAGGAAGGAAGTTGGGATTTGGCAGCAAGAGCTAATTGCGAGCCTAAGCCTCACACAAACTGCACCTCACTGGCCTCCCTCCCTTCTCACCTGCCCATGGGTGTCGCCTGGAGGCTTTCCTGGTTCAAACCGCACAGCCAGTCCAAAGTCAGCCAGGACAGCTGTGAGGTCGCTCTTCAGTAAGACATTCTTGCTCTTGAAATCCCTGGAAGAATTCAAGACAGAAGCTAAGCTGAGACCTCAAAGGTGGCACCTGGAACACCTTGAGCTGCTCTCTCTCTCTCTCTCTCTCTCTCTCTCTCTCTCTCTGTAGCAGGACTAGCTTGCTACCCAGGCTTCATGACAATTCTGAGTTGGTGCTTGACCTGAACTATGCAGATGACTCCCAAGTCTTCATCTTTAGCCTTCATCTGGAACAACTTCCAGATCATCCTGGAGCTTCCCTGGGGCCTCCTTGCCATGTGATATCCTACCATCTCTGTGCCCAACACAGCCTGTAATATCCTCCCCATGAGGCCTATTCCCTTCTCTCACTGGTGAGCTCCTCCCAGAGCTTCCCATTTTGTGGAGGGGTCCAGGCCAGACTTCATTCCCTTTGTGGACCTGTTCCTGACTCCCTCACTTCCAAACTATGCTTGCCTCATTCTGGAACTTCCCCCAATACCTGGCACCTTCCCTACGCAGTCTAAATACCAGCCAAACTTGGCTTTCTTCTTATTTCACATACGTGGCATTCTATGTTCCCTTTATGTGGAAGGCTATCTCCCATACCCAGGGAGTTCACCCTTTTCCTCTCTACCTCTTAGACCTTAACTACCCCCTTAACTTCCACCTAGACCTAACCTCCCACCTCCTTCAAGAGGCCTTTCCATTTCCCCCAGATTTTAGTACCTCCACTCCCAAACACTGAGTTTTTTGGTATATTTCCTATATTTATTGTGAACATGTTGACTCCCCTTATTAGAAGGTAAAACACTTTGAGGTCAGGGACTGTCTTACTTTTATATATTCATATCCTCTGGCCCTTAGCACAGTGCCTGGGACATGGTAAGAGCTTCATAAATGCTTGTTGACTGACTGACATAAGATAAAAAATCCCAAACAGTGATTAAAGGAAGAAATGTCTATTTGCTTCAAATTACATATCACATCACCACATTCAGCTAAAACTGAATTCCCATAAGCATATATCTACTAAGGGGCTAGAGATATGTGGCCCAGGGTTAAAACTTTTTTAAAAAATCTACTAAGAAGAAAGAATAGGAGTGCCTGAAAGTTGACTGCATTATTATTGTAGTCTAGAGGTATGGATCAGCCCCAAATGCCAAAAGCCTCCCCTATCCTGCCCCCCATCCACATGCCCTCATCCAGTGCTCCCAAGTCTTGTACACTGGATACAAAATATAGATGGGAATCCCTTCCTTTTTTTAGTTGGGTAAAGGCCAAAGGAGCTGGAAGGAAGTCCACAGGAGGTACTTCTCCCCCTGAACCAAGGCACGGCCTCCTCTTTCGTGGTGGGGCAATCATAACATGTCATAAACCTGACTTTGGTGACCACTGACAACCAGACAGAAGAAATTGACTTTCCAAGGTCGTACGAGCTAATGGCAGAGTTAAACTCAAACCCGTGATTTGTAAGTCCAAACACAGCACTTTTACCATGTCTGAGGATGGTTAACAAATAAGTTAAATTAATATAACAATGTAACAAATACGGAGTTGTCCTTATGATGTGGAGGGAGGCAGCAGATCTGGCAGTCCTTTTGTTAACTTATTATGATTATCCAATAGCACTTCTAGGGCTCTATCCCAAAGAGATCATACTAATGGGAAAAGGACCACATGTACAAAAATATTCATAGCAGCTCTTTTTGTGGTGGCAAAGAATTGGAAATTGAGAGGATGCCCATCCACTGGGGAATGGCTGAGCAAGTTGTGGTATATGAATGTAATGGAATACTATTGTGCTATAAGAAATGATGAACAGGCAGACTTCAGAAAAACCTGGAAAAACTTGTGTAGTCTAATTCTGAGTGAAGAACCAAGAGAACGTCATACACAATAACAGCCACGTTGTGTGATGACTAATATTGATACACTTAACCCTTCTCAGTGATACAAGGATCTAAGACATCTCCAGAGGCCTCGTGAGGGAAAATGCTGTCCACATCCAAAGAAAGAACTATGGAAGTTCAATTGCTATTTTTTTTCTCTTCTGTTGAGTTCTGTTTCCTTTTTCTGATGGTTCCTCCTATCGGTTTTAATTTTTACTGACAATACCACTAATGTGAAAATGTTTAATAAGAATGTAAATGTATAGCCTATATTGGACTGTGCGCTGTCTTGAGCAGGGTGGTGGGGAGGAAGGGGAAGAAAAATTTCAAACTCAAAAGCATATGGAAGTGATTGTTGATAAATCAAAATAAATTAATAAAACTTAAAAAAACTTATTATGACTATGAGCAAATATTAAGCCTCAACTTCCTCATCTGCAAAATGAAGGAGATGGTCTAGTTCAGGGGTTCTTAACCTAGAATCCATAGATTTCAAGGGTTCTGTGAATCTGGAAAGGAAAAAAATACATCTTTCTTTTCAGTAATCTCTTAACTAAAACAGCATTTTCTTCAATTATTTAAAAACATTATTTTGAGATGTGGTCTACAGGCTTCACCAGACTACCAAGGGTTCATGATACAAAAAAAAAAAAATTTAAGAACACTTGGTCTAGATGATTCCTGTGATCCTTTCAAAGCTAAAATTATGTTAACTTCTATGTCAATAATATGTGAGAATGTAAACATGTATGTGCACATGTACATGGCATATGGCTATTCATGTAACGTCCACTGATTAACACAGATTTAGGAATGCGTAGGTGTGAAACCAAAACCCCAGGTACTTACAAGTTCTCTTTTAACATTTAGGAAAGTGGTAAATCAGATCCTTCAGTTCTCCTTATCTCTCACTTCATCAAATTCCTTTTCCCCTACTTCCCCTGCCCAACTCCCACCAAAGTCCAGAAGCCACTCAGAATTTGGAAAAGGTAAACAGACAAAAGGAAAAAAAACTCCTCAATAATGCTTTCTTCCACACCTTGCCCCCATTCCCCAAACTAAATACAGAACCCTAAATAAAGGCCACCCACTGAAAGAAAAAAAACCCTAGCCTTGAACGGGCTAATTATTTAAAAACAGCATATGAAACGAAACTGCCACTAGAGGGCACTTGGAAATCAACCAGAAGCTACTGCCATACTCAGAATCAGGCCAGAGCAAAGGCTGGAGTGGACGAAGAATTAAGAGTAAATGTAACTGACATCAGTGTCTTTCTAAGTCAGCAGCAGCAAGAGAAGGTTTGACCCATGTTAATTCCATCCCTATCCCTATCCCAATCAACCCCAGGAGGATTTCTTGGAGTGTTGATTAACACACCTCCCTGGAGTCTACTCAAAAAGGACGTCAACGGCATATACCATGTGCCATCTGTGGGCAGAGCTCGTCCAGTTCCTCTGCCAGTCTCCAATCTTCACTCAATCCTATTGTGTTACCCTATTCCTTTCTCTTACCCCACTCCATACCTGTGGGCAATGGCTGGCTTGTGCCCCTCTCCTCGGCACCAGGGCACATCTTCATGCAGGTAGGACAGGCCTCGGGACATGGTCTCAGCTACATGACACAGCTCATTCCAAGTAACAATGTTCCCTTTCAAATAATCTGTGAGAGAACCCTAGAAGAAGTAGCACAGTGAGGGTTCAGACATCTAGAAGCGTAGCATACCTCTAGAAAATCCAAACCCTTAAGAAGAGCTCAGATTCAACTTTGTCCTGGAGGTTGTGACTGGGGATGAGGCCAAGGGGGTCACCTTGCCCCAGAAGCCCAAGAGGCAGGTCAGGGCAGAGGTTATGAATCTCTCAGGGGAGGGGAAAGGGATGTCAGAATCACCTTGTCATGGAAGGCTGTGATAAGCCACAGCTCCACCTCCAGGTTGGAACCTCTCTTTTCTGCTGCAATGAACTGGAGCAGGTTTTCATGTTTCATGCCTGGTGTGCTGAAGATGTCCCGTTCACTCTGCCAGGACTGCTTGTCCTAAGGGACAGAGAATACTCAGTTCTGAGGCCTCAAGGACTAATCCTCTGATAGTTGTGGTATAGTCATCCTAGTCTATCACCAAGTATGTATTAAACACTTATGAGCACTGTACTTAATAATAACCACTTGGAGCATAATTAATTAGAGACAGAGGCAGCCTGAAAGGGGAGAGCAAAGCAGCTGAGAGGATAAATCATTCTCTGTCTCCAAACCAGAAAGTATACTCTTGTGAGAGACTGTCTGGGAGAAAGGCAGCAAAATGACAATTCTTGAAGACCTGGCTGATCTACTGTTCTCATTCTGAGACTTTGAGAATCTTTAATATCACCATCTAGTGGTCCTTTCCCCAATACCTACAAATACAGTCAGAGGGATCCCTGATCCAAGCTTGCTATTCCCCAAAGCTACAGCTCTTCTCCTTTTAACTGCTAAACTTTTAGTCATTGATACCAGCCGCCTACTCTTTGACCAACGTCTACTTGCAGTCTGGCTTCTAACCTCACCATTCACCAAAACAAATTTCTCCAAGACTAAAAAGGGTCTCAACTGCCAAGTCTAAGTACCTTTCCCTCCAACCTCACCTTCCTTAACTTTTCTGTATCAATGAACACTACTGACCACCTCCTCTTTTCGTGTATTTTCTGCCTTCTTGGCTTCTACAACCTTGCCCTCTCATAGTTTTCCTCCCAGCAATCTGATTTCTCTTCCTCAGACTCCTCCTGAGGTCTTACCACCCTACTCCTACATTCCTGACTGAGTAACCTCCAAGATTCTGGGCTCCTCCTTTTCTTCCTCCCTTTCTCAGTCCATTCATTCCACTTGTAGCTTTAACCACCTCAATGTGGCCGACTTCCAAAGTCTCCCTAGAGTTGCAGTCCTACGTCTCCAATTATCTGTAGGGTGTTTATATCTAGGTGTCCCACTAGCACCTCAAACCCAACATACTCCAACTGAATTCATCACCCTTCCCTTTATCCTAACATACTCATTCCCCCAACTTTGCTGTTCCTATTAAAGGCACTACTGTCTTCTCAGTCAGGATCCAGGCCTCAAACCTCAATCACCTAACCTACTATGTTCATCACCATTTTTTTCTCTCACACTTATCGCCTCCTCTACACACACACACACACACACACACACACACACACACACACACACACACACACACACATACATACACCCTACCATCTTAGTTCAGGCCTTGATCATATTTCACACAAATGGGGAGGGATGAGGGGGAGGGAATAAGCATTTATATAGTGCCTACTATGTGCCAGGCACTGTGCTAAGAGCTTAACAATTATTATCTCATTTGATCACCATTAACACCTAGAACTGGGTCGTGTCTGCTTAAAAATAAAATATCTAAAACCAGATTTGTTGTTACCTGTAATGGAAAAATCTTCACTGCTACATAGTCATTCATAAGCTGAGCCTTCCAGACACAGCCAAAACGTCCCCGGGCCTTGATCTCCAGCAGCTGCAGTGGCTTCAGGCCAACAAGTGGTGAAGGTGGTGGAGGACCTGGGTCCTAAGATAACAAAGGGATTAATAGTAAGAGTACAGAAGTCTAAGGAACCACAGAACATTTCCTTTTGTGTGTTGTTGAGGTTAACAACAAGCCAAGCCCCTGGGAAGGATGCCTAAGGGTTCGTAATATGGCTACACTTTCCCAACAAAAGGTATACAAAGCCTCAGCTACAAATTGGGGAGCAGGGTTCATATCCTGACTCCACCTCCCAGTTCTCATGTCCTACCATTTGAACTTATGCAGGTTACTTGGTGCTTCAATTTTCTTCCTGCAAAACAATGAGAATTTCTCTGGCTGACCAACCTTGACAATAGGCTATGGGGACCTAGGACAGGAAGAGGTGGGAAGAGCATTGGAATAAGTTCTTATTTTTGTTGTCCTCTAGGTGAGAAGCACAAGTGCCCATAAACACTAAAGTAGTATGAGCACAGGAAAGCAAGAACTTCTATTTCTGGGAAAGTTCCTTCCCTGGAAGGGGGAAGAAATTAAATACGTTCTCTCTTTCAATTCCTAGATGCTCCCATCCATCCCTTCAGCGGTCTCTATTTCTTCAATTCCCCTGAGTACCTCATTGACATCCACATGACCGTAGGGAGGTTTTCGGTGCCTATACATCCAAAATGCAATGACAATGGCCAGAGAGAGGCCTCCGATAGGCAGCAAGGCATATGCAAGGACTGTGAGTAGAGGGACAGTTGAGGGTGGCTCATAGGTAACTGCAGAGAGATAAAAGGGTTTTGTTCACACTTTGAAGCAGCTGCCCCCTTCAAGCCCACAGCATCATCATTTTTCCTGGTTCAGCCTTCATGATTTCATCTTGCTGGTCTTTTCTTTGAGGCTAGAGAGGCTAACAGAAGGCTAGATGCCTCACTAACTATCCCTCAACTCAGACAAAGTACTTGCAGAATGATTTGACATGCCCCATGCCAGGCCTCCAACCCTAGAGTGGAAAATACATGCTAGGGGCCAGGTATTTATCAGATGCATCTATGTATATATGGCTTTATTAGAATATACAAATGCCATATACACATATTTATCGCTATAAAAATTGCATAGATGGATGCATGTCAATAAAATCAATCAATAAATATTTATGAAGCACCTACTAAGTGCTAGGGATACAAATAGGCAAAAGATAAGCCCTTGACTTCAAAGAGCTTGCAATTTAAAAGGGGCAGACAACAGCCAAACATATACAAAGCATACTCTTTACAGAATAAATAATAACAAAAGGGAAAGCACTGGAATGAAGAGGGGTTAGGGAAGGAAGGCTTCCAGTAGAGGGTGGGATTTATTTATACATCTGTATGCATGAGTAGTAAAAGTGGTCAAAGCATTTAGGAGAAAGACTTGGCTTTAACACTTATGACCTGCCTGACTGCAGGTTGGTTAGCATCTCTCAGTCTCAGTTTCCACATCCAAAAAATGGGGATAACATTTGCACTACCAACCTCACAGAGTTGGTGGGAGGAAAAGTATTTTGTAAAACTTAAAACATTAGAAGTATGAGATCATTATGATGATGATGATGACGTGTGATTATAAACATCCGTGACAGTGTAGCAGAGTGGATAGAAATCAGGGCTCAGAGTCAGAAAGACCTGGGTTCAAGTCTGCTCCCTGATACTCACTGGCTCCAAAGCTTTGGGTGAGTCACAATCTCTCCATGCCCCAAGAGACTCCCTAAGACTCTTAAATTGCAGAGAAGGTTCTGATTTCTATGGGTGACAAAGCTTCTCACCAGGAGCTCCCTGTGCCCATGAAATCAGAGGTCCAATTTTTTTTTTAAAGTAAATGAACACCTACATTTTATGTTGAGAATATGAATCTCATGTCTATGAACAAATCTCAGGCAGCTCTTCATGAGCTTCTGACCCCTGGGGGGTGAAGACTATTACATCTTCTTAAGCAGAGCTTGTTTCACATATAATCCTATTTTTCTGTTCATTGTATCTGGAAATATTTGTGTTTGCTGATGTCTGTCAATTTCATAAAACATGGTTAAGGGAAATGCTGAGTACTTAACACTTTGGAATCTGGAGATCTGAGACAATGAGGTGATTTTCCACTCCTCCCTTTGCCCCTCAAAAAAATGAGGCATTATATGAGATTTGGAGGTTTAAGGTCACAAAATAAAATCTTTAACACACAGCCTATTGTATTCTTAGAGGTGGGGAAGGGAGAAGAGGTCAGTGGTCATTTCACTTCAAATGGAATAAAATTATTTCTTTCTTCCCTTTCCAATATCACCAGGCTATCTTCACTGCTGTTGGGGAAGACTCTCCTATCTTTCAATCGGTCTTTATTAAGCCCCTTCATGAGCTACAGTGAAAATGAAGAGAGACAATCTAGTGGAAAGAGCTGTCAGAGCTAGAGGACCTGAATTCAAATCCTGCCTCTAATTCTTATTCCCTTATTTTTGAGGCAATCAGGGTTAAGTGGCTTGCCCAGGGTCACACAACTTGTGTCTGAGTCTGGATTTGAACTCAGGTCCTCCTATCTCTATCCATTGCTCCACCTAGCTGCCTCATCCCTGTGTGATGCTGAGCAAATCACTTAACCACCTTGGTCCTCAGTTTCCTCATTCACAAAACGGTAAGACTAGTCTTGATGGTGTCCAAGGCCTCTTCCAGCTCCCCATCGATGATTCTATGATCTAAGTTTAGTCGGTTGGGTCCCTCAACAATAGACAGTTTTTGTCAAGGGGGCTGCCCGTGAGGCATCTCCAGCTTGGTGGTATCTATCTAGAGTTTTTTCTGTGTGGCATAGTCTTTGAGAGTCTCAGTTGGCATACCTACCATTTCAAAGGACACTTAAGAAACTGAACCCATAACTTGTTCTTGCTTGACTATACTTATTTTATCATAAGAAAGGATTTTATTTTTACTTGGGGGGGGTGTTAGAAAGGGGTAGTGATATCGGTGCCAAAAAAAAGAAAAAAGCATCAATTTACATTTTTAAGATACACAGAAGGGAATAGAAGAAGGGACCACAGATAAGCAGGGTAATATTGGACTAGCATGTTAAATGCAACATATACTTTAAAGAAAACATGCTGTATGTAATAGACTACCACATCTTCTTAAGCAGAGCTTCAGTTTCTCATACAATCCTATTTTTCTATTCATTGTATCTGGAAATATTTGTGTTTGCTGATATCTGTCAATTTCATAAAACAAATGAATCATTTTAAAAAACTGAATGCACATGAAAATTTTCTCTTTGTTAATTAGTTGTTTTAAAATTGAACTGTCAAGTTTCCTGAGGGCAAAGAATGCACCATCATCATCTCTTCTTGTAATGGCCTCACATACCCCAAAATAAAATTCTCCCTGAGCCAAGTCAAGTCATGCAGCAACAACAGCTCAAAAATTAAATGCAAAATGAAAGTCACTATTGATGAGAGCTGACCATCGAAGCAATAGGAGTCCTGTAGAATAATGAGACACTACAGAATCTAGGGGAATGAGAGACAGCAGGACACAGTACATAGTGTAATACTCGAAGTGAAAATGCTCTAAGTTAAAAATCCTATCTTATTTTCCTATGGGCGAGCTACAACCTCTGAGTCTCCTCAGTTTCCTCATCTGTAAAATGGAGAAAATATTAACCCCTGTAGTACCTACCTCACAGAGCTACTGTGGAATTAAAATGGGATAAAGCATATAAAGTGCTTGCAAATTTTAAAGCCCTACATAAATGTGAGTTACTGTTGTTTTGTTTTGTTTCCCCCCATGCCCCCTTCTTTCCGGCCGGCTTCACCCCCTCAGCTCAGTGGGCTTCCAGAGCCAGCCCAGCTTCCCTCACCTTCAGGGTTGGTGACCTCGGGTAAGTGCGTGAACTTTTCATTGCAGAAGTTCCCCTCACAGCAACAGAAGAAGACCTGGGGGTTCTCTTCGGTGGCTACACATTCCTGCCTGTGACAACAGAGTAGTGCAGAGGAGTTGCATACATCATCAAAGCCATCCAGACTTTCTTCCTAGCGTCCATTAGATTCTAAGCACTTACCCTTGACCCCTGGGGGGTGGGGGGAGGGGGAAGCTGAGAAGATGAAGGCCTGCCCCACGTGGAGTGTTAATTCCCAAGTGTTTACTTCCATTTCACAGTCGGAAGAGGAGTAGCCCTTGAGAGCCACTTTGCTGATGGCTAAGCATCAAGATTACACTTGGAAACACTGACAAATACTTCATGATTTTAAGGAAAACAAATTTCAAGCTTTCAAGGAGTCTATGGGAATATTCCCAACAAGGGGTTTCTGTGGTTTGGTAGGGGAGTTGGGGGGGAAGCCCAGGTGATCCTTCCAAAGTATCCTAAAGATGTCCCACCTCCTGATCCCCTTACTCTCCTGCCAAGCACGGGCAGTGAGTCACAACTATAGTTTGGACAGTCATGCCTGTTCCACTGACCACCTAGGTTACTACACCACTAAGACAGATGGCTCTCTGACCAGGAGAACTCCATCTGGCTTGAGGGAGTAGGGATTGGGCTGGAGAGAAATCTCAGAGGTGGGTGAGCAGTACCTATCATAGCAATTGAAGTCATCCAACCAGCAGCCCTTCTTCACGAGCTCAATGGTACCAGAACTATTCCTCCATGAGGCGTAGCAATGAAGGCGCTTGTCCTTCTCCCCCTCACAACGTTCCAGACCACTCTGGTTTGTCTTCTCCAGTTCCCAGTTGGCATTGTAGTAGATGCATTCCCTGGTCTCAACCTCCCCACGCCCTGGGCCTGCAGGGTAAGAACAAATAAGAAAAAGTAGGGAAGGTGACTGATGAAGGAGATACAACCATCTATAGATCCTTGGGTCACTGGGTCCAGGTCTGCACGGGTGTAAGGGGAATAAGACAAGCTAATTCTTCTATACTTGACTTCAATTGCATCCCTCCCTGACTGTCTTTCTTGCACTGTTCATCCTCTCCCAACTGGATTGTCCCCATCTGCCTACAAACATGACCAGACCTCTCCATCTACCCACTCTGCCCATCCCTCTCCTCTCCTTCACAGTAAAATTTCTAGGGGCAAAAAAAATGGTCTACACTCATTGCTTCTATTTTTCAAACTCAGTCCAGCTTACCGCTTAACACTCTAATGAAATTGTTCTTCCAAATATCACCAATGACTTTCATTCAGTTTTCATCCTACTAGATGTCTCTGCAGCAATAGAACTCTCGGTCACTCCCTCTCTTCCTTTTAGATATACTGATTCCCATTCGCTTCAGATAAAAAACACACTCAATTAGTGTTCTTCAAACAATCAATGAATCAATGTGTTTATTGAGTCCCTACTGTGCGCCAGATGCTGTTAGTTAGTAAGGATACAAATGGATAAAAAAGAGAGAGAAAGAGAGAGAGAGAGAGAGAGAGAGAGAGAGAGAGAGAGAGAGAGAGAGAGAGAGAGAGAAAGAAAGAAGAAAGAAAGAAGAAAGAAAGAAAGAAAGAAAGAAAGAAAGAAAAGAAAGAAGAAAGAAAGAAAGAAAGAAAGAAAGAAAGAAAGAAAGAAAGAAAGAAAGAAAGAAAGAAAGAAAGAAAGAAAGAACGAGCTGAGGAGCTTATGTTATTCCTCTAACTGTGTCTTCATGAGCTTCTGGTTCTCTTCCCAACTCTTGAAAAGGGTATTCCCTGAGCTTCTGCCCCTGGCCTTTAATTCTCCTCCTTCAGTACTCTCTCTTTTGGCAACATCCCTCATTCCCACAACTTCAAAGATAACCTTGACACAGATCACTTAAATCTCTATCTCCTGATTTCTCCTTCAAGATACTGACTCACATCTCCAACTGCCGAGGTGGTAATTAAGATATTTCCACCTGGATATTCTGCTAGCACTTTAAATTCTAATTTTTTACTCCCAAACTAATTCCTCTTTCAGAAGTCCAACTATTCACCCAATTTACCAAGCTCAAAATCTTTCATCCAGTTACCAAGTCTCATATCTACCTCCCCACCCTGACCTTATCTCAGCCCAGTCCATTCCCATGGTCACTATACTAATATAGGTCCTCATTACTTCCTGCCTAGATCACCAGTACAAGGTAAGCTACTCAAGGGCAAGAAACTGTTTCATTTTTTTTTTTAGCACAAGTCACGTAATCAACAAGCATTCAGAATGTATCTACTATGCACAAAGTTTATTAATAGTCAACATATATCATGAACATAGTAGGGACTCTAAAATTCTTGTTGACCTAAACTATAGCACTAGCCTCCTTAAAAGTCTTGCCTCATCTTCCCTCTGCCCCTCCAATGAATCTACTGCTATCAAAATCGACTGCTATCAAAAAGATCTTTCTTAGGTACAGTTTTGGTCAAATCACTCCTCCAAGTCTCCACTGGATCCCTAATTCAAACCCCTTGCTCTATCATCTAAAGTACTGCACATCCTGATGCCATTTTGCCTTTTTCTGACTTCACGTCTACTACAATTTTTCCATAAACATTAAACTCCAATCAAATGTAACTACTTGTTAACCCCTTGGCAAACTGAACTTGCATTTCCCTGCTGCTGTACCTATAATTGGAATGCCCTTGAAATTTTCACTTACCAGTGGAAATCCCCTTTTTTAATGCCCAATTCAAATTCTCTGTCCTCCAGGACATCTTCCCTGAGCCACTCACTCATCCACTATTCCAGAGGTTATGAAGGAGCTTCTCCTCTTTAGATCCCTAGTAGTAATTGATTTGCACCTTTCTAATGCACTCATCTATTAAGTTTACATTGTACTTATTTCTGTCTGTAGTAGACAAGGATAGGTTAAATAGTGACACCTTCCCCCCCCCAAAAAAAAAAACTGGGAATGCCATAGAAGGGAGGCATCATAGAAAAATCCTCAGGAGGTAGAATCAGAAAAGAGCATGATAAATCACCAGCCCATGTTCCCTAGCACCTCTCTCAGTATCATGTTCAGGTAGTAAGTAACACGAGAAGTTCCGCCAGTCTAGTATAAGCAGTTTCGGGTTCACACTATCAACATGCGAGCATGCACACAGGTACGTATGTACAACAGAGTAAAGAGTCTGGCCTCTCCTTCCTAAAGGACACATCTCCCTCAGAGATCCCTGACAAGCTTCCAAATCCAACTCCTAGGTTCAGTTCTCTTTCCCTTCCTCCCCAAGGAATTTTGTCCTGTCTAATTCTTCCTGCTTAGACCAGTCCAGGCTAGAAGATCAGACCCTGGGCAGCTTGGATCATGATCTACAGGACATGATCTGGGAAGAAGAGTGGGGCCTCATAGGATCCATGCCCTGATACTCCAACCTAAGTCCCCAAGCTTAAGGGAAAGGCCAGACTCTCTGTGTAGTTCTAGCAACTTGTTATCAGAGTTGGCCTGGGACTTAGCCTGAGAGGAGTAACAGAGAAATTCTCACTTAATTCCTCATAAATACAGGAATCCCACCTGTTTGATGGAATAGCTTTATAGACTCAAGACTTTAAAAAATGAGATGCTAGCTGGTCTTATTTCTTAAATATATAGTACTCCCCTACCCACCTAAGGCTCACTCCCATATATATATATACCTCCCTCTTCCTCTGACTTCCCTCTAGCTAACTGATACCACTCATCATTCTCCCAGTTGCCAAGGCTCCAAATCTCACAGGCATCCTTGACTGTTCCTTCTCAAAAGAACAAAAAATGGCTAAGAGTAAATTGAAACCCAAGAGAAGTAGGGGAGATATTAGCAGGAAAATGAATATCTTTGATGAGTTTAAGTCCCCTTGAATAGCATGAGAAACTCTGTCAAGTGCTTCATTAAAATCTAGGTAAACTATACTTATGGTGTTCTCCAACTCCCCCTACCAATGCAGTAGTTGAGCCAAGGTCCACATGAACTACAGCCCAAAGTTGCGTATAAACTGGCGGATGTGACTGCCCAGCTTCTGTTGGTCATCTCTGAAAAACAGCTAAAGGGAGAGGAAGTACAAGTCTTAAAGGCAAATGTCTAGATTTAAAAAAAAAAAAAGGAAGAGCATATTCTGCAAACTAGACGCCGGTGAGATTGACTTTGATTCTTAAAAGAATTCTAGATTACACAAAGCATCATTAAAGTATCATCTAGAAAAAGAAGCAATAACCACAAAAGGCCAATATAGTTTCATTCAAGGAAAGGTTATGCTTGAATAACCACATTTCCTTTTCTTGCGGCGGGGTGGAGGTGGTGAGGATTATTAGATGTTATAGACAGTTTATTTTAGCAAAGCATTTGACAAAGGCTCTCAACTATTCTCCTGGAAATGGGGCAGATGACAGCATAGTTAAGTGGATTATGAGCTGATTGAATGGTCAGCCCTGAAGTATAATCATTAATGGTCTGATATCAGTTTGGAAGGAAGTCAACAATGGAGTGCCTCAAAAATCTTTTCTTGACCCTATGATATTTAGCATTTTTACCGATGACCTGAAAAAAAGCACAGGTGACATGCTTATCAAATTTGCAGTTAACACAATGCTAAGAGGGCCAACTAATGTGTTGCATGACACAGCCAGGACCTAAAAAGATCCTGACAGGCTAGAATATTAGGTGGAAGTGAATATGAAATGTAACAGTGATTACACTTTTGTTGTTGAGTTGTTTCAGTCATGTGCAATTCTTCATGACCCCATTTGGTGTTTTCTTGGCAAAGTAGTTTGCCATTTCCTTCTCAGAAAACTGTAGTGAATAGGGTTAAGGGACTTGAGCTCAGGGTCATACAGCTAGTAAGTGTCTGAGGCTGGATTTAAACTCAGGAAGATGATAAGACTTCCTGATTCTCAGCCCAGTGCTCTGTGTATTGTGCCACCTAGCAGCTACAGTTCTATACTGGAGGTTCAAAATATCACCTTTAAAAACAGATTTGGGGATTTTAGTGAACTGTGCCTACAATAATTCAACAGTGTGATACGGTAACTAAAAAAGCCAAATTGAGAAACAATGTCTAGGACTACGGAAGGAGAGTCCTATACCCTGCCCTGGTTGCACCACACCCTAAAGCAATGGTGTCGGACTCAAACAGAAACAGATCCTTGTTGCAAATGACTTAGAAAACTACAAATTAACAATATCTATGTTGTATTGTCGTTTTATGTATCTTGTTAAATATTTCCCAATTACATTTTAATCTGGTTCTGCTTCGAATTTTGCCAACTCAAGTTTGCCATGAGTTTGACACTATTGCTTTGCAGTACTGCGTTCTGTTCTCCTAGGAACCTTCTTTTATGAAGTAAATTAATAAGCTAGAGAGTGTCCAGAAGAGAGTAATCAGGAAGGCGAGGTGCCTTGAGATCATGCCATCTTAAGATCGGCTGAAGAAACTCGGGATGTTGTACCTGAAGGAGGGAATAGTCTAAGGGACATGACATCTGCCTTCATTTATCAGAAGAGTCATCTGGTGGAAGGGATTTCACCAGAAGGAAAAACTCAGAAGGTAGACATTTTAGAGAAGCAGATTTAGGCTTAATCTAAGAACCGAACTTCCCAGAAATTAGAGCTATCTCAAAATGGAATAGCCTCCCTTGGGAGGCCATGTTTTGCCCTCATCAGAGGTTTTCTAGCAAAGACTGGATGGATGACCCCTTGTGGATATAAAGGGACTGCTATGGATATAAAGGGATGGATGGTTTTCTGAGGTCCCATCCAGTTCTTAGACTCCGTGACACACAATCTCTCTTTCATTTAACAACTCAATTCAATAAATATTAAAACACTTAATGCAAATAATTCCTAACCTTGACAAAGTTACTGTCTGGGGTAAATGC